AATCTAATATAAACTACAAGTCTTTTTTAGGGCTAGTATCATCAGTTTGGCCAAGAAGTTAGAGATCTTGGGTCTCATTCTATTTGCAGTTATTCCTGATTTGCCTTTGGACTTCAGACAGTGTAAAATTCAGGCCAGTATGCCTGCTGTGACAACTATTTACAATATATTAGTCCTCAATACTGTTTGTATTATTTTAAAAATAAGATAAACTTCCTTAATATTCCATACCGTTTCCTTGAGCCATGTGCATGGTTTACAATTATTTTTCTTTTCTTTCTAAAACATAAATAGATACTTAAGGACATCTGCATTTTATAATGTCTTGCATCAAATATTTGTTGATTTCACATAAAACAAAAAAAAAACAAATCCAAACCTTGAAATGCTGACTATTATATAAGATGTTTCCAAACAACAATAACATGAGATTTTTTGTTAATTTGATTACTCTTTGTGGTAATGTAAGTATATACTTTAATTAAAATGTCATGAGCTATAGCAAATGTAATCCTCCATCACTACCTTTGTGCATTAAAGATTGACATCTGTAGTGCCCTGTATTATTGCCTGGAAAAAAAATAATGAGATTTTAGAATCTACTTTTTAAAATATATTGGTTTTATGCTTTGCAATAAAATAGAAAACCTGTTAGATAGAGTGAGCAATGCTTAATAATACTAAAAGATAATACTGAAAGAAATTAATTTCAGAAAACTTCTTTAGAACATTAAGTATGTATTTAAGTTAGTAAATGACTGGAGGTACATTAAAAACCCCTGTCTGACCTCTCATAAAAATATAAGCTCACATACTATCTGTTTGTTGTAAAAGATCTGACAGATGAATTAATACAGTTGAAACTGCTGCCACTGTGAAATTGATTATTTTTCATATTCAGAGCCTGCCATTTATCAAACTAAAATATGACTTTGAATGTCTGCCTTAATAAAACTTAGTTTATAAATCAGCATTTCTTCCTTCTTTCGTGTAATAATGTTGAATTACCTGGAACGTGTACCTAAGAATATCTAACCTAACCTTTTTATACAAATAAGAATGAGTATGTGCAGGGATCATCAGGCACCTGGGTCAGTGGCAGAATTTCCAGGCAGGCTCATGGCCGCTGTCTGCTTCCTTCACCTTGTAATGTCATCTTTTTGTGTGAGTACTTAGACATAGATATGGATTCTGCATGGTGTTTAACATGCCTACCTGTGCATCACCGGTACATGCAGCCCAGCGCTACCAGGCTCCCTGTGCCCAGCCCCCGGCTGCAAAGCGAGCTGCAGGTGCCTGGCATAAATGTGCAGGCCCTACAATGGTAGATGTCTAATAGTAGGTAGGACATGAACTCCACTGTAAGTATTGCTGTGAAAGCACTCATTCTGTCTCACTCTTTCAGCAAAGCTTTGTTTTGGTAAATAATTTCTGGTTTGGAGGAAGCTGCTGCTGGTGATGTATCAGGAGCTGCTTGGTGGTCATAGTAGTTTTAGAAGGAAGGGGAGCTGGTCACTGCTCTGTAAAAAAGGATATAGATTGGTTTTAAGCTGCTGTTGCTAGAGGTTAGGAAACAAATGATGGAATAGGGGATAAGCAGTAAAATACATTCCCAGCCACAGTAGCTTTGTTTGGAATATGCAGAAGTAGATAAAGACATTTACTGCTAAATCTGTTGTTTCAGTCTCCCGAGACACTGTATGGATTACATTTATGAAAAATTACCAATTTTGCTTGTTAAATAACGCCCCCGCTAACACATTCAATACTTCACATGACAACATCTTAAATATATGTGAATAATTACATCATAACAAGAAAAAATTAAGATTACTCAAATATCTTAATTTAGCATTACTTACCTAAACCTGTTTGAACTTAAGAGAAGTTGATGACTATACTGAGTCAGTAGTTCCTGATTTGTGTTAGTTTAGTATACTTCATAAAGTTTCTCTTAGTCTGAAGTGTAACTAATCCATATATTTACTTGTAAATCACAGAATCATACAGGGGTTTGGGTTGGAAGGGACTGTAAAGATCATCTAGTTCCAACAGGTTGCTCAAAGCCCCGTCCAACCTGGCCTTGAACACTGCCAGGGAGGGGCAACCTGTTCCAGTGTCTTTCAGTTTAAAACTGTTAACCCTCATCTTATCACTACACTCCCTGGCAAAGAGTCCCTACTCACCTTTTCTGTAGGCCTCCTTTAAGTCCTGGAAGGCCACTGTAAGGTGTCACTGGAGCCTTCTCTTCTCAAAGATGACCAACATCAACTCTCTCAACATGTCCTCATACAGGAGGTGCTCCAGCCCCCCAGACATCTTCATGGCCCTCTTCTGGATCTGCTCAAGCAAGTCTTTCTTATGTAGGGGGTCCCAGAGCTGAATGCAGTATTCCAGGTGGGGTTTCACAAGAGTGAAGTAGAGGGAGAGAATCACCCTCCTCAACCTGCTGGCCACACTTCTCTTAATGCAGCCCAGGTTAAAGTTATCTTTCTGGGCTGTGAGTGCACATTGGTGGCTCATAGTTGGGTTTTGATCCTCTACTACTCCCAAGTTCTCTGCAGGACTGCTCTCAATCCAGTCATCACCCAGCCTTTATTTGTGCATGAGATTGCCTCGGCCCATGTGCAGGACCTTGCACTTGTTGAACTTCATGAGGTTTGCACAGTCCCACCTCTCAAGTCTGTCAAGGTCCCTCTGGATGGCATCCCTCCCCCCCAGCATGCTGACTGCACCACACAGCTTGGTGTCATCGACAGACTTGCTGAGCGTGCACTCAATCCCTCTGTCTTTATCCCTGACAAAGTTATTTAATAATACTGGTCACAGTGCGGACTCCTGAGGGACACCACTCCTTACTGGTCTCCACCTGGATATTGAGCCATTGACCACAACTCTTTGAGTGCGACCATCGAACCAATTCCTCATCCACTGAGTGGTCCACCCATCAAACAGATGTTGCTTTTTCTTGCACAACAGTAAGGGTCCAAAGGTGGCACATACTTCTTTTTGAGGGAATGGGGGAAAAAATTGAAAGCTACCATTTCCTTCTCCATCTTAGTCTCGGGAGTGGAACTAAGCTATTGCTGTGGCTCCCTGAATTTCTGGAGCAGAACACAGGGCCGAAAGTGGAAGATCCTATTACAAAGATATTCCTTATGGTCAGGAACAGATGAAAGCCATCAAATGCTCTACAGATATTAGATAGCTTCTGTCTGTCATTCCAGTAGGAAAATGTATTCCTTCAGCTGGGCTTGTTTAAGCTATTTAATACATAGTCAGTTATAGTTATGTCTGATATAAGGGAAGGCACAAGTGTTTGAGTAGGCACTGCTTCCACAATTGTTATACTGAACCTGGACTTCGGTCTTTAACACATTTCATTCTTCACCCTTCACATTCAGAAAAACAAGAGAGTGACCTCAGGCTTTTAGTTAACTGAATACATCTCAGTGGTTAATTTTCATTAATTTATTCATTGCTAATATGTTCTTTCTTTTAGAAATTGAATTTAGTGAAACTTGCCCTCAGCTTGAAAACATGATCAACCTATTGACTTTAAAAAGGGATTGTTAGTCAAATAACACATAGTTCTGGGTCTTCTTCAAGAGATACAAAGAATTATCTCTTGGAGCACCTTTTCATTATCTTATTGTTCAATAAAGAGCTGTAACAGAAGCAGTCTTGTATGACCAGCCATCATGCAACAAGTATTTTGACAATATTGATTCTAAACCCTTCTGCACCACTGCCAGTTCTCATATGGAGATGGGGGTGGGGGGGGGATACACTCTGAAAAAAAAATAATCCTCCAAACAGTGAAGCACTCCCAGAAGTAAACCTGGACCAGTTCATTAAGGTTAATTTTAGATTGTGAACATCCTTTGAAACTTGCCAGTTTTCGTTACAGAAAAATACCAGTCTTGAAACACTTGCAGTATTCCACAGGTATTCTTGAAAAAAATGTCAAATGACCTCCGAATGCGGAACATTTCTTAAAGTAAAACCAGTGGGGATAACCCTCATCCCTGTGCTGTTTCTCACGTAGGTGGTCCTAACCCTCACTCACTCCAAATCAGCATTGCAAATCCCAGCATTCATTTGCACAGAAGATCATAGGAAACTATTAATTCTTCAAAGCTGATGGAAAAGCCTAAATATGAGTCTGTTTGTTTTGCTGGAGACTATAATTTGAATCCTCTTTTCGTTATGGGGCAGTGGGGAAATGCAGGTAAATTTCTTAGTAACCATCAGGGGGGACGAGACATTTCTGTGACTGTTGCCATTTACATTGAGTTTTCTATCTTCATGTGAAGTTTTTTTGCTCCATGGGTCCCCCTTAAGTCAGAATATAAAGCAAACTGCACTAAGTCTGGTCTATAACCATGACTGAAAACAGTGTCAGGGGGAGGTTCTTCTTCACAGTATTTCTGTTTCCTACTGATCTGTATTGAAAAGGCAAGATGGCTCAAATCTGGATTTGGAAGACAACTGGCTGAACAAACAGCTAATTTCATTCTACAATGGGAATGTGAATTCCACCTTCAGAAGACTGCAGTAGAGTTTTTCAAGATACTTAGAGATTGGTTCACTGACAGATTCAGTAGCTGCTAGACCAAACACTTGTTTTAAAGGCAACTCACATATTTTGCTTCCACAGTTGTCTACCTTTTAACAAAACTGTGGGGTCAAAGTCCAGTATTGTGCTTCCCCCAGACCTCCATCATATATGTATGGGTAACAAGTTTTTATGAACAGTGGATGCATCCTCAAGTGTTTATAAATATCTGGTGGTGGGCTGCTTCCCTTTTTCCACTATGCCTCAGCTGTTACCAAGACGGTTGCTAGTGTGGAGCTGAAGATCTGATTGTTTTATTCTTGTCTTGTTTCCAGTGGAACAGGAATTACAACAGAATCCACTAGCAACAGGACTAATGTGTCCGAAATATCTCTGATCACTGCTCTATACTGAAAATGTGATTACTTGTGTTTCTTTGCAGGAGCATATGTGCTTCAAGTAAAGGCGACAGATGCTGATGATCCCACTTATGGAAACAGTGCTAGAGTGGTTTACAGTATTCTTCAGGGGCAACCATATTTCTCCATTGATCCGAAGACAGGTAAATAGTCTATCAGCAGCAGTGGAAGATTTAAACTTTGGATTTTGATTCATCTGGGCAGTATCAATGAATAAATATGGACTGGGCTGATATGCCCAAAAGCTAGTAGAGTAACTTTGCACATGATTCAGTTTTGAGCATTGACTAGGTTTTGAATGAATTACAATCTGTTGTAGAAACAAAAGAAACATGCTCCTTCAGTCAGTTCTGGAATATCTAAAATATGTATACATTGAACAATTAGGGGGTTTTATGCTTTACCATTTCTCTATAGCTAAAGCTTTAGATGCTACCTGCATTCTAATTTTTCTGGTTTTAATCCTGATGATTCAGTTTTATATCTTAGGTCTACATTCTTTTTTCTCAGCATTTTTACTTGCTGAATTTACTCAGAAATTCTCCAGCAATGATTGTTTGGCGATATAGAGCTAATCTGGAACTGTGGAATGGCTAATAATCTCCTGCCCTTCTCTCTTCCTGGGGCATAGTGTTTTTCTGGGGTTACTGGATGTGTGTACAGAAAAGGATAATATGTTTAAAGAGGTATTTGGGAGGTGGTGGACATGTTGATTAGGTATCTTGTCCTGTATTTCTAAATGTCGTTCTTGTTTCTTTATTTAGCAATTCAGTTAAGTAGCCAATAACCTACAAGGTGAATGCCATGCATTGTGTCATCCTGAATGTGTTACAGGGAGAGTTGTCCATATGCCCCTTTCAGTAAATAGTTTCTCCTTCCATTGAAGTTTTATTTGGATGCTAAATTATGTGTTAAAGAGCCTTTATCCCTGATCAATCAATAGTTTGGTGGTGAAAGACTCATAAGACTGTTAGTGCACTATCTCAAATGGACACATTCCTTTGTCACATGCTCCATTTAGCTGGTGATCATATTCCAATTTGCAGTGAGCAATTTTACTTTTCAAACTGAAATGAGACTTCTTCAAGTGTCCGGGGGGGGAAAAAAAAAAAGTATTTACCTTTACACTTATTCTTTTATTTCAGTCTTGTAAAGAATCAGCAGGAATTCAATGGCAAGAAAAACCTTTACTGGAGCCACAATTGGAGTTCTAGTACAAGTTTCGCAAGAAAAAAAGATTAATAGTTAGTAGTACTTGAAAAAGAATTGCTGTATCATATTCTCTCATCTATTACTCAGTAGTGAGTAGTGAGTGGACCATAGGTGGTGGCACCCTACTAACCTTGGAACATCATACAAACCTGGTGTTTCCACATCTGTCTATTAATACCTTTAATGAGTTACTCGGGTGGATCTTGGTGGTAAAAGAATGGACACAGCTGTAAAGGAAGTTTCATGAAACAGCTAGCCCAGCAAAATCCTATACCAGAAAAAAGCATATAGATTAATCTTTCTGTGAGCGTGTGCAGAATTAGAAATGTGTTGTCTTACTTTAGAAAGGTTACAGCATGAGAGTTAGCTGTGGGTCTAACAATGGCGGTAGAGAGAAACAATATGTGAGTAGTAATGCACAGGATGCTGCTTAATGATTTACTCCAAAATCCAGAAGTCTTGGGCAGCATTACAGATCTTCTGGCATTTCCAGTTCTTAATTCTATAACTGAGGAGATGATACAGTAGTTTTCCACTGAAGTTTTACCGCCAGACACCTGCCTTATATGCTTTTGACGAGAAATGTGAAGAAAGCCATCTGGGTACAAGATGAAAAACTCAGAACTGCTGGCAGATGGATAAGCATTTTGGGGGTTGCTGGTTTTGGCTTTTTTTGACGACTCACATTCTAGTGACAGTTTTGAGCCATTGTCTTGTAGTTTTTTAAACAACGTAAGAACATCCATACTAGGTCAGACCAAAGGTCCATGCTGCCCTGTATCATGTTTCCAAAAGTGATCCTTGCTCAGCTCTAGTGAAGGATAAAATAAGTGTTTAGTGATGAGCCCCTTGAATTGTCTTCTAGCCTTCAACAACTTGTTCTTACGAAGTTCCTGGGTGGTTAGCAGTGTCCATGTAACAAAAACTCTGAAAGAATTTCTCCTGCATAACTTGTCCACTTCCCAGCAGAGTTGACTTGTTCAGGAGTGCAGTATCTGCACACCAAGTGATTAGAATTTCCACAGCAAATTTTTTTTTGGGTGGAGAACCATCAACTCTTGCTTCTTTGAAATATGCACCTCTTAACTTATTTTATACCCCACACTTACATTGCACAAGACAGTGAACAGTTAATTCCTTTTTATTATGATGACCTTATTACCATGACCATCATTATGTTGACCTTATAGACCTATATTCTCCCCCCATTGTGTCTTTTCTAGATTTTAAACAGAAACCATTCCATAACACTGATCATCCTTCTCAGGATGATAAACATACAGCATTCAAGAAGGAAGCTCATATGGGTATATAAAATGTTTTAATCATAACACTTCTGTTCTTTATTCTTTTACAAACAGTTCTGAACGTTCTGTTTACTTTTTAGCATCTACCACACAGAGGCTGGCATGTTTGTGGAAATTTCTGTTACTACCTCAAGATCTCATCACAAAGATGATAACTGACAATAACTTTATCTGTGAAACAAGGATTGTGTTTGGCATGCACATAACTGTACACATACTCCTTTCTCAAATAATTCCTGATAGGTGGTAAACATTTACTCTGATATGAATCTAGTACACTTAAATAGTTTTTAACCTTTATGGGTCTGAATGTCACAGCTGCTCCTTTACTACTCTTCTTTACTGACCTAACTTTTTTCAGTGCTTTGCTGGAGGTAAGCAAACTATATGGAAGCAGGAGACAGTTTTTATTGTTCTTGTAGGAAGGTTAAAAGCATTACAGTCCCTGCTGGAGATTGGCACATTTTAAGGCCTCAGATCTTGTATGTGGGGGTTACTTTTTGATGCTCTGAAATGGCTCTTCTGATGTTAATGTGAGTTTTCTTTAACATAGAGCACTTCTCTTAAGACAGATAACCTCCCCTGTCTTTCCTCTGTACATTCTGTTCTGTTACTAAAACGTCCTTTTGATAAACTTCTTTCCTCTGAATTTTCTGATGTGTTTGTGAGGTCAATATTCTTACTTAGGGCTAGATGTCTCCAGTTTTTTCTTAGTACTGTAGTTCATATTCTGACCTCAGTTACAGTCTTGAAATCCAAATTGGTGTCAACAAGATTATTGATGTTAACACTCAGGAGGCTTTTCAAGGAACCTGGATTTTTTCCCACACAAGTGGATCATCTCCTGTTGAATTAAGGCTCAATAACTTTGCAAAATATATCTTATAGCCCAGGTCCCTACATACTATTTTCAATTTTCAGTAGCCTCATCAAGATCATACTTTTTTACACATTTGATATTAATGACAATTGCAAAGAAAAAAAAAATCAGTTATTCAGTTCTGGAGCTGAATAACCTTTTTTGTATAATCTTAAGGTAGAAGGCTTTAAAAATGCTCAGAACACCATTACATGCATGTAAGGACTCTGTATTATAATAAAACTTTGATCTAAAGTTTGGATATTTGTGAAGCTGAAGTTGCAATTTCAAAATTTATAGTCTTCTTTCCCATGGATTTTTACCTCTATTCTATTTTTCTATTTTGCTGGTTAGATAATTTTAAATCACCCTTGTCCTATCCATATGAACTGATGATTTTGGTACAAATAGTGTATTTCAAGGTTTTTTTCTATGCTTTTGAAATAGAGTAGGTAGAAAAGGGAAAATTGTCTATGAACTGCTAGACATGAAAATTATTCTCATTGATTTTTTTTTTTCTGGAGACAAAAGTTTTTTATAGACAAATATATATAATGTCCTTACACTTTCTGAAAGGAATAAACAGTGGGTGACTGAGAACTTTACTACTAGAGTGATAGCCAATTCTTCATTTTCTGATGACCATCTGGAATATTTCTAACTGAGAAGGCCACTCAGTTGTACCTAAAAGAGGAATAACAATCATGAACTGCATCTCCTGCTCACAAACTACTATCTGCTCATTTTCAGGTTTTTCTACTTACTGTTATTTTGTTTTGCTAGTATAACAAGTCTTTAATTCTCATAGTTCTTTTCTCCTTAGAATGGGCATACCAAGGATATTGTAATTCCACAATGCAAAAATATGGATTAAGAGATTCAAGATGAAACCTAGTAATGTTCATCCTATTTACAAAAAAGATTTTTTCATGAATATGAACAAACTTTTACAGTTTTACAATTCAAGATTTCTGTCCAGTACAAATAAAATATTGAACAACACTGTTTTCAAAAGCTCAAATGGATAGCGTTGCAGTATCTAAATCTTCTTAAGTGTTTGTTAGTCATATTCCAAAGCTATGCAGTACAGTATATACCATGCTGAGGTAGAAAACAGTAGTTGTTATTAATGTTGTCATTATCATCATCAGTGTTACAAGTGGAGAGAAAGAAAATTGGTATACAATTCAATTCAACTGGAATTTTTAATAGGTTCCAGAAGTAGCAGATTTAGGTCAAAGTTATTTCTAGACTATGGACAAATACTATAAGCTAACAGTTCCTATTCTTACTTGTTAACACAGCAGCAGTTAGTTGCTCTAAAGGTAAGAGTGACCCTTACAGCTTTTTTCTTATCATTCCAGACCCATTATAACACCAGGGTGAAAAAACTGCTTTTAAACCCAAATGGTTTAATACTAGACAATAATATTTTCTAAAACAATAGCAATTTAGATGAGAAGTATGCTTCCAATTGGTTTATTTTTCAGCTGTGCGTGCTATCTGCACCAGTCTGCACCTAGATTTTTTTTGAAAATTATTGCTGAATATATTGCATTTTGCAATATAATACAACTTGTAAAATTCTGACAAACAAGTGCATTTTCTCCTATACATTTGGTTTCAAGAGAAAGGCTTGAGTGCCCAAACCCTTATAGCTTTTTATAACCTCAACAGCTAATCCTGTGACAAGTACCCCTCTCTACAAGTCTTACTTTTATCATATACATTCTTAACATATCAGAAGGGAGATTATGGCATACCTATTTAGATCTCAGTTATCCAAAGTCACTGAAGATTAAGAGTAGTGTCTTACCATGATATTTTAATCAAATTTCTTTAAGGAAATTCCTAAAGTTTACCCTGCATCTGTGTGCTATATCAAGAAAACTTTCTCAAGCAAAGGAGAGTCTTCTGATAAAGACTTCCTTTTGTATAGAAGGAATATTGTCTTGGCCTACAGTAGCTTAACTGTGATGGCAAGTGACTGGTTGGAAACAACTGAAGTTGCAGGCTCTGAAATGCATTGTCACATTGCCCAACTCTGCACAATGCAGCATTCTTCAGTCCTAGTTGACAAACCTGTGCTCACAATGCTCACATCCCTCCTCAAAACGCACCAATCCCTTGCAGCCATTCATGTCCCACCGCAGTCATTTTGAATGGTTGAATGGCTGACTAGCTTGCTTTTGAAAAGCCCAAGTGATTTGCCTGTTTCTGTGTGAACTACTTTCTTATTAACCCTTTAGGAAGAGTTCCATTCCTGGTCCAAGAGATCCAGTATTAAAATATAATAGTAGATATTTCACAGCCCTTCGCTTACTTATTCTTTCTCTTTCCCATTTCTTTTTGTAGGTGTAATAAGAACAGCTTTGCCAAATATGGACAGAGAAGTGAAAGAACAATATCAAGTTCTAATCCAAGCCAAGGACATGGGAGGACAGCTGGGAGGACTAGCTGGTACTACCACTGTAAACATTACTCTCACGGATGTCAATGACAACCCACCCAGATTTCCTAAGAGTATGTTGAATTCCAAATGCACTGATTTTCAAATAAGCATGACTGAAAATATTAATGTGAAAAATGCTTTAGATAAGGAATTGAGATCCAGGAAGAAGAACAATGTATGATGAAAAAATTTAGAATATACTGTTGGTTTTTTAAATTATATAAAGTTTAATTTGAATGTATGAGTTTTGAATGAGAGGAAACACAGCAGCATTCCACATGACCTGCCTGAGCCTGAGAGTTCATTTAATTTACATTTTTAAAATGCTTAGGGAAGTATTATTTTTTCGAGGGAAACTGGATGATCCCCTTCAAATGACGAAAGTTTATAACCTGAGACTTCCAGGTACCAAAGACACAACTGGCTGATGCTAAGCACTGTTATGATAAATGGGAACAGATTTTTTTAATACAGAATTATTTTTTTTAGCCTAGAAGATATCTGTCCTTGAAAACACTTACAGCCTCAAAATAGTGATCAGACACTGGCAGTTTATAACTTTTCATGTCAATAAGTTTAAATGAAGCTTTTCAGAAGTATGCTAATTTAAAGAGTTTCACAGTCTGTGTATGATTAGCAGGATTGCCACTTACTGATCTCCTTAAATTTACTGAAGTTTTGTATATCCCATACCTTTGAAATGCAGAAACTACCCAAGAATAAACCTTGATAACTATGCCAAAACAATTAGCTGCTAAAAGTCATTAGTAAGGCAAATTCATATTAAAACATTAGTGTGAATTTGCAGTAAGATCATGACAGCTTTTTACTTTGTATCTCCTTTCTTGTATATGAATTATAATCCAACTTTATGTATTATAAATGTTCCTTAGATACCAAACCATACCTGAAACTTCAGTTTTCTATCATATAAAAAATATTCTTCTTATTTTCCTCAGTATGAAAATGTATTGCATTTCTGCAGGCATGTAAGAATAACCACATTAAGACAAATATCCATCTAGCTCTGCCTTCTGTCTCTTACACTGACATCTAGAGGGTATAGATAAGAACAGGCTAAACAATACTCCAGAACATTTCTTCAGTTTCTAATGATTTTTAGCCCAGATGGTGTCTGTATTTAACAGCCCTCAGTGGATTTTTCTTACAGACACTTTGCTTTGAAACTCATGTAAAATCTCAGAGTCCACAACATCCTATGGTAGTGAGGTACACAGATGAATCATGTATCACTCAACAGCTTCCCCTCATTTGTTTTGAATCCATCCCCACATAACTACCTGCATGTTGACTTCTTTAAAGAATTCAGAAAGCACTGCAAAATATAACCTTTACTTAGAAAATCTGTGTTGAGTTTTTTTTCAGTATGGGATATTCTCCATGAGTCCATTAATCCTGCTTCTACTGCTTTGTTCTGTGCATGTCAGTCATATCTATCTTTAGCTCCCCTGAACTTCCTGGAAATCTTTGGGGGGGTTAAAAATCAGCATTATATTAACACCTACAAGCCTTTTTGTGCCACAATGGTTTGAAGCAAAATATTACACATCATAATAGTTCACTTATTTCATCCTTCAGGCTCCTGGGCATGTAAACAGCTAATCCCAATGATTTGTTACTGTTGTGTCTATTTGTTCCACAACTGGTTCTATAGCTAATTTAACCTTCTCATGAGCGCCCCATAAAGAAGGGTTCCAGGATAGAAAAATTCCCCAGCTATTCTATGCTGAACACAAAGGAAAAAAATGTATTCAGTTTTACATTTGTGGTTTTATCATATCTGAGCACTTCTATACCTCAGTTTTGGGTTGGCTTTACTCTGTTCCTCTCGCGCTTATGCTTCTAAATATCTTTAAAAGACAATTGTTTTTGGCTTGTTTGCCAGAGATTTATTCAAACATACTTTTGTCCTCTTTATTGTGTTTTTATAGATAAAGCAGATTTTATGATTTTTTCTATTGTCTTTCCTGAGACACAACTTCATTTTTTTGAAAGATGTGTTCTTGCTTTTATTAGCTATGTTGTTTACCCCTACAGACTTGAGTTTTAATAGGTGCTGTGCATTTGTTGTGGGTCTTCAAAACAGTATCTCTAGATAGCATCCACACCACCCACAGTTATTTAACTGTCTCAGCTATCCCGTTCAGATTTTTTTATACCAATATCCCTCAATTTTATTTACTCTTTTTTTTTTTTTTTTTTTATTTATTTAACTGAGTACAGTCATCATGTAATTTTGTCTCTTACTGCTTCTCCACAGATATTGCATTTAAAGTCATTATGGTTGTGCTGCAGATGAGTGGTTTAGATTGCTTAAAGAATCACTGTCAAAGGTGTTAGCAAAAGTGATTTTAATATGATGTTGCAAAAGTGCGACTTAACAAAGTTCGATGGCAATGTTAACTCTTTTACTTCCTACATGGAAGAAACATACAGAGAAGAATTGATTTAGAATGATTTACACAGAGACCAGAGATGCAAAAAGGTAAGAGAAACCCTCCCATTAGGTCATGAGGTTCAGGATGGACCCCTTGCTTTCTAAACTGCTTCTCAGAGAGGAGTCTAGATGCCAGACTTGGTCCCAGACTTGGTCAATGATTTATATCTAATAGAATTAGTGACATGTATTTCATTAGTATGAATTTAACATGCTATTACTTACTGGCATGCTAGTCACTTACTGGGGATCTGTTGCAAATAAGGTGTCTCTCTGCCTTGGTAAGGACATACCTCTTGATCTCTGGTGAGGAATCTCAAACCTTATGAGGTGTCCCTGCTGAAAGGCACCTGCTATGCAGTCAAATTGCAATTCAAGGAGAACTCAAAATGCAATTCAAGGAGAACTTAAATTAGTCGCTTCCAATGATCATTGGTAAAAGGTCTCTCTGCCTTGAGGAGCGACCTTGAGGGGCGTCCCATGTCAAGGGAAGATCACTGCCATGCAACCACACTGCCTAAGAGGGAGAGCTTAAAGAAGACTCACTCTGGCTGTTACATTTATGGGATAAAGTGATTGGTTTGTAGTTGAATTGCATACAATGGGAGAGGTATGCACGAGAGTCCTTGTACCCACAACTAACTTTGTTCACTGATGGATGAATCTTGGTAAAACCACCCACTTCTCATGTGTTAATCAACATGTTCAGTGAACCAAGCTCATATGCACCAGTGCTCACTGCATCACTCTAGAGGAGTTCTTGGCCCATCTACACCACAGGCCTTTACCTCCTTTGGAACCTGTAAACAAACTACTGCAAGGTTAGTTAAGGGGGGGTCTAGTGCATCCATCACAGGTTGCTGTAAAATTTAAAACTAAAGAACTTTTCCTGAGTAGATAGTGTTAATACCGTTCTCTTCTTTAAGTCTTATTTGACTTAGAGTTTCCTTTAACAACCATTGTTACTCCACAGATAAGGTCTGCTTTGCCTTTTCTGTGTGTTTTGCTCCCTGGTACTGCGTTGCGTAACTGATTTTCTTCTTTGCTACAAATTTTGAATATGCCTATTATGCTGATATTCTTGTTTAGCATTAGGCATTAAAGCTACCCATACTATTTTAACCCTTGGCTTTATATTGTGACTTTCTGTCTCCTCTTTACTAGACTGTAGTTTGATTCTGTGTGATCTACCATGTCTGCATTTCCTACTGGACTACAATCACCTTTTGTAGAATTCTTGAGTGAAGAATGCAGAGTTCTGGTGACTGCACCCTTTTTCTAAACTGTGTTCTTTTGCATTTTTTTGAATTTTGTACTTTCCAACACCTGCAAATTTTCCAGAACTTTTCAACTAGAATCACAATGGTCATAGAGAAGTTTTTAATTTTTTTGAAGTCTGTTTTTCCTTTGGCCAAAATAAATTTTGCATCTTCTCTATGGGCACCCATTCTTTAATTAGTGCCCCTACTTTCCAATAATGTGAATCCCTAACCTTACACCTTTTTCTCAGCTAGGCATTTAAAGCTTTGCCTTTCCATCGTTCTCCCTCTGATTGTAAATAGTGAGACAATTTCAGACTATGTTACTATGAATGTCCTTAACTTCAGCTTTTGCTTTCCAGCTAAATTTCACCCTTAAGGACTCTGTCCAATCTTACCTTATTTTGTCAGAGCTCACATGGACTACAGCTATTGGCCTCTCCTTGTGTTTCCTCACATACTGTCAAAACAGTATGAGATGCTCCAAATCTGGCCAACACACAAATAAATCATCCCAGAGGGTCTCTTTGAACAAACATTCCCAACATTCCTAATGCTTGTTAAACTGTCCACCGCTGCAGTCTTCTCTTTCCTTTCAGCTGGAATCCCTGCTGCAGAAAGGGTACCACAGTTGCAAGAGAAAATAATGTAACTGCTGTGAAACTGAGAAATTTAGTGCATTGGCAAGTTCCTTGGGCCAAGTGCTTTTTCCTGTGTCTGATTTTCAGTTGTATATTTTACTTTCTTTGCTGTTAGGGGCCTTAGAAATTTTCTATTTGATTGTATGCCTTCATCTACTATGATGCTGCAAAAATACATGTCTCACATGATGTCATAGAGAAATCATGGAATAAATCATCTTTGAAGAAGATAGCCTTGAGGTCTCAGTTAATGCATACACTGTGGTTATGATGTCTTTGCCCAGTTGTTGCTATGAAGGAGCAGAAAAAATCACAAGAGACAAAGCTTGCCCTGTACTTTGCATGCTAATAAGGTTGAAAACCTTTCATTTCTATTATAACAAATGTCACAGAATCTGAATTATAGCAGTGACTCAACAAAACAGAAGAAAATAATATTGGAGGTTCATGTTGATATTGAAAATAATAAGCATTTAGCATGGCTTACAAGCTAAAATGTCAGTATGGGGACTCCAGTGTATTGGAACAAGTTTGGTCAGGTCAGACTTTTACTTGAAACATTTTTTTAGGGGGGGATGTGTTACAGGCAACATGTTTATATCCTCATAATCTAAGGAACTATGCTTAATCAAAATAGTAAAAGCAAATATCCTGGTCACTGGGGATTTACTTAGCCAGTCCCATTTGGTTAAGTGGTATGTGAGATGATGTAC